CAGCCCTCTTCCAAAGACAAGACATTGCTGTTTATGTGAGAAGAGGTAAAACAGCACAGCCTTCCTCTGCAGGGTTTGCTTCTCAAAAGGAACAAAAGAAATGTCAGCCTGTGAATTTGTGAGCACTATTGTTACTTTGTGAACCTGCTCTGTGGATTCACTCAGATTTGTTGTCCATAAGGCTGTTGGTTTCACTAATTACCGAGTAAGAGCAGTAACAGAGTCACGGACCACTGAATTTAACAGGAGATATTCAAACACCTGGACAAGCAGGTGTTCAGGGAGCACAACTGCAAAGCAAGGCAGTAAAGGCCCTTCTTGCTACAAACAGGCTGTTGGTTTGCATTTGCTGCTCAGCAGTTGTAGGTGCATGTTAAGAAATTGCATGTCAGGGAATATGTTATGTCCTTTGTGCTGAAGAACAATGCTCTCAGGTGGTGCTCCAGGGGATTTTACACAAATTGGTCTTGCTTTTTACCTATGTAAACAAGCTGTCTTTTGAAATTATTGGTCATATGAATGCAGGAAGTGCTCACTGGAGCATTTATTTATATTGTCTTTAAATTAACACACTATGATTCCTGGTCCAGCTATCCAAGGTATATCAGGAAACATTTGGTATCTTTTGCTGGTATTACCATACCTTTGTAATTGAAAGTCTTAAAGACATGCATATCTTGTTCTCAAAAGAACACTTTTAATTTTGCTGGCAAGATGGGATGTTCCATCTTGTGTGCTTGTGTTGGAGAAAAGACTTTTGTTCATCTGCAGGCTGTGGTTGGGAAGTATTGTCAGGATGGCCTGAAAATTGAAATTGCATTGCATCCCATCACTCCACAGCACTTTACTCTTCCCACTCCTGAGAAGTGGAAGTCCCTGCTCTGTGTAGGCACTCCTGGTGTAATTGTGTTCCACTTGAGCCCATGTCAGCTGAACAGCTTCAATTTCCTCTGTGCTTGTTCTCCTGGGGTGATTCCTGGGATGTGTGAGCAGCAGCCTTTCCCTGCCTGACTGGGCTCCCAGCTTTGGCCATCACTTGCCAAAGGCACCAATGAGAGACACCACCAGAGCCATCCACACGTGCTGGAGAATGACTTTGTATGTCCTGAAGTCTGAGAATTTCAGAAGGGATAGAGTATCTTCCAGATGAACAGCCTAGAGAATTTTGCATTTCAAGCATTATATCTCTTTTTAGAAAAACAATTCAACCTCGGAAGGTGAACGTCTATCTTAAAGATTCCCTGCGTTATACAAAGCTTGAGAAGGTACAGAGAGGAAAGGAGACTCTCCATCCACTCCTTACAGATTACCAGGAGATTAAGCTGATCAGTGACTCTGCTTATATTGTGTACTAAAAGCCATAGTGCTGCTCTGTGTGTGCTCACAGTGCTGGTGGCACAGCCATCACCAGAGGGCCCTGGGCTTAATGGCACTGGTGACTCGTGGATGGCTTTGGGAAGAAACAAATGGAATTTCAAGGGATCTGTATTCAGGATTGCTTAGAGACATTGAGAGCTGCAGATTCAACCCACATCAGTTTCTGAACTTCCCTTGAAGTGTGTGTGTTAATGGAAGAATGGGTAGGAGGGATGCAGGGAGTCTAATTTGGGTGTGTTGTTTCCATCCATGCAAGTTGTGAGTAGCAAGCATAAGAAGAGACCAGTCTGCAGTGGGATTTCTCAAAGGCACCATCACAAGATGCCACCTGCCCTTTGAGCAGTGGAAAATCCCCTCCTCATCCCAGCCTCCTTGCAGCAAGAAGGCACCAGAGTGTGGCACAGCTCAGGGGTCAGGTTTGATCCCTGGAACTAGATCCTGGGCCAGAGCATGGGGCACTTGGCATGGACAAGCTCCCCTGCAGGTAGGGGATGTACCACAGAGCTGAAATTACTCATTTCTTTTGTTATCTTTAAAACTTCCTTTTTATTTCATCCTTGCAGAAAACAGAAAAGGTGTTATTCTGAAGGTTTTTTATTCACTTTTAAAGATTTTCTGGCTTCACACCTTGCTGCCAGTGCTATAACCCTGTGCCACCAGACCTGACTCAGGTGGCAGGTCAGTGTTGGGTCCTTGCTGCCAGGACATGGAACAGTCTTCCACAGGGGCAGAGGCTTCTTCTCCAAATGTGGTATGTGACTCTAGGCAGCTCTCAGGTGGAGAGCTGTGTGTACACTCATTTTTGCTTGCTAGCACTGCCCAGCTCTGTCCATTTTATTTATATTTCTTGCAAAGAGAAGGATTCTGTGCCACAAAATATTTCCTTCCTCCTTGCCTCTCATCTAATGTAGGCTACACCTCACAAATGAGGCAGAACAGACTTGAGATGTTGTTTGTCAATGAAAGGTGAGCCCAGCTCCTTAGCAACGCAGAGGATGTTGTTCATTGTCTTCTGCAGGAGCCCGTTCCATCCCACCCGTCACAAACGCCTTCCCCCAATCGCTGTCATCGCCAGAAAGGCTTCCAGCAGGGATCCCCGCTAGGAAGTGACCAAGTTTGCACACCCCTTATGTTCCTGGCAGACACTGTCATCTTGTACACATTTAGCCTGATCACTCTGGCAGGTTATGAAAGACTAAATGGTGCAAACACATGTGGCAGATGCCGTTCTTGTGATAGCGGAGGAGCCGCTGAGCCCCTGTTGGGAGGGTGCCAGCTCTGTCTCATACACTGAAGAGCTTTATACTTTGAAGCCTTCCACGGCTTGCCCTGAGGGACTGCTGCTGAAGTGGTAATAAAATTCAGAATGAGCCTCAGAAAGTCAACTTGTTGGTTTCAAATGGGGGTTTTCATTATTAAGCTTCTCTTTAGCAGCCATATGTAGAGCTGCTCTGTCAAAAACACCGTGTACCCTCTCTGAGAAAGGTGATTGGAACTGAAAAGATAAATAGATAGAAGCACAGAGCCGGCAAAGAAAGTGAATTGTTTGTGTGAGCTGAATCTCCAAATGGCCCTTGGTGTTCTTCAGGTGAAAGGAAGTGAAGGAAGTCTGGGAGTAAATGTTGGTTACTAGGAGCTCCTTCTGGCAGTCTAACTAGAAAATATGGACAAGGCATTCTCTGCTCCCCAAAACCAGGCATTTTATTTGCATTTAATATTCCATTTTCAGGTTTTGAGCTCCAAATCTGTGTAAATTGACCAGAACAGTAAAGTTGTGATTATAGATGGCGCTGGTGACAATAGCAGGAATATGTAGCACCCCTGAAACATTTATAAAAAGCATTAAGTGCAAAGCCTCAGTGAGGCAGGTGAGCCCCTTAACTGAGGTAAGGCAGTTGGGAAGGTTGCACCTCAGTTGAGAGAGGAAATCATCTGCTCAGGATTATAGTCTTAAGATGCCAGCTTGAAGACAAAACAATTGGCCAGCAGAACATGGCTTTTACCACAGCATATCAGTAAAAACAGAGTCTTTAATTACCTTAATGTATTCTTGTATAACACCTCCCTTTCTCTCTTTGTTATTTATTATCAACAGTGAGTTAAAGGTTTGTGTTGGGTGGGGTTTTTCTTCTGAAATTGAAGAGGTTTTAAATATTGGGAGATATTGTGTTTTTCTCCAGCTCTCTGCACCCTTTTGGGGTGTGCAGTTACTGAAACAAGGATCCTTAAAGGTGAGCTCATCCTAACCTGCATATCCAAAAGAGCAGGTGTCAGTCCCAGTAATTCCTGGGCTAGGCAGCACTTGCTATAGCAAGGATGTGATGCTTGGAATGGTGTCCATAAATATTTATACTTTGAAAAGGTCTGTGGGGGAGAGAGAGCCCTGCTGTGCTGCAGACCAAGCAGATTCCAAGAGGCAGCCCCAGCCAGCCTGGCACTCAGAGGGGAGTGAGGTGCTGGGACAGAGAGGGCCAAGCACATGGACATCCAGCCAAGCTGTGCCAGGTGCACAGAGCATTTTAATGTGTGTGAGGGAGAGCTGAGGTGTCTTTGGAGCAGGAGGGGGAAATCCTGCCCTTGGACATGGAGGAAGTAAAATCTGCAGAGAGGAAACTGCACATTAGTTCTCTGTGGACAGAAATCTCAGGATTGTTAAATCTGTGTAGCATGTTTAAATTGCCTTATGTAGGTGCTTACTTAAAGGCCACACAGCTGAACCAAGAGAAGGTTCCTGTGCTCCAGAGGGCAGTGCCAGGGTCCTGCTGCCATTCCCAAGGCATGAGTATTGGTGGCAACCACACAAATTCCCCCCTCTCCCAATTTCCTGGGTGAGCCTGCTGACATCTGCTCGGTCATTATGAAGATGAGCACAGGGCACCTCCTGACCACTGTGAGCATTAACAAGAATTACACTCCCAGCATCTCACCCAAGCTGTAAAATTTATCTTTCATTATAGAGAGAAATAAATCACAGCTTTGTAATCTCGCTGCCCCCAGTTATATTTACAGCCATGAGGTTCTACAGGGAGCAGGGCCCTCTCCATCCTTTTCCTCCTTTTTCATGGAAGAATGCTGCTGTGAATGCTGTCACTGAAAAGAAAAAGTTACAAGAGCTTCCTCCTAGAATCGGTTCAATTTAGCTTCATCACACTAGTGCAAAGAACATATTGCAGCGCTGTGGTGGCCTGTTTTTCTGGCTTTTATTAATCCAGAAACCTTAATGATGAACAACATTTGTGTCATTGTCTACACAAATTTAATTTGTTTATGCAGTAGTTCAGTTAATCCTGCAATCTGCTTTTCTCAAATGAGGACAGATAATGGAGACACTGTTCTTTACAGGTCTTCAGGCTTTTAAATTCTGATAAAATCAGGATTCTTCACTGGGTCTTGCCACAGCTCTGAATTAAGCCACTTTAAATGTAATTACTGGAGCTGGCTGTACATCAGGAACATCCATTAAAAGAATTGATTGACCATGCTGTTACAAGGAGGCATTTTATGAACAAACGATCGTGATGGGTCCAGAACTGTAATTTATAAAGGCAAAAAAGCAGGTAAATACTTTATTAGTGGTTAATGAGAGGTTCACAAGATAACTAAATTTCTTCTTTTTTACCCAGCTACTTCAGGGAACCTTGGTCTTTGGCCATCTATCACGATCGGTTTATTGATCTGCAGAAGGAACTTCACCAAATGCTGATGTCAGAAGAGGTAAGAAAAATGACTGGCGAGTGCATTTTATTATTTAGGCAATTTGTTGGTGTTGGTCACTTTGATTTCTGCTCCCATCTGTATCCTGAAGCTTTATATTTCTGTTTACCTCTCTCTTCAGGGAAGCCAGAGCAGACTGTGTACCTCACAGGGGGGTCACCATGTACAGCACAGTGTTCAGTTTTCTGCTTTGGGTGTATTCTCAAATCTGCCAGTAGAACTCAAACTTGCTTTGTTGTCCATGACCGCATTTTTGCATTATAGCTGCAATTTTGTACAAGTGGAATCTGGAGCCTGGCTTGTCCATTGGGTTTAGGGGTGTTCCCTAACAGGAATATGCTATGGGCCATCCATCCTACACCTCTCTCAGCAGAGCCTTGGGTAGGTTTTTCAACACCTACCCACAGGGAATAGCTTTCGTAGTCCAAAGGGTGAAAGCAAGTGGCTTTTCCAGTGATAAGTGGATTTCCTGAATAAGGGTGGAATTAAAATGTTTGCTAATGCTGTTTTACAGCTTTGGCCCTAGCACCATAACAGAGGCATAGGCATAAAGCCTCAGCAGCCAGGAACTGCCTGCCCAAAATCCAGAGTCACTGTGCTCTATGGGGAGAACTAATAACAGCAGGTGCCAGGCAGCCCCCAGAGCTGCCTTCCCCACCTCCTGAGGAACTTCTGGCTGATCCCAAACAGAGTTTGTGGTCTGATTTTAGTGCTTCCAGCCCAGTACCCGGGACCAATTCACCCTGTCCCTGCTCACACTGCTCTGCCTTTGTTTAACCCCATGTGGTTCCAGATGGTGGCACCGGGTTTTAAATGTGTGCTCACTGAGTTTTTAACTGTGCAGAAAACGAATGGAATTGAGTGTAAATGGAGGCAGGGTGGCAGGAGGAAGTGGAGCCCAGAGCCCAATGCTGCTGTATCCCAGCTGCAGCCATGAGTGCTCAGCCCTGCCTCTCCCCAAAGGACTCAGAGCTGTTTGCCTCCTGTTGTCCTGACCCAGAAAGGGCCTTGGTGCAGTTTAATTTGGGTTCTCTTGGAAGACCTCTATAAAAGAGTGCAAAATTAAGTTCTGTGCAGAATGAGGCGCCTGATGTGAAGTGTTTTTCTTGCCATCATTCAAACTTATTCATCATGCTGTTAGTGTGAACAACTTGGGAGAGAGGGAATTTGTGCCCTACAAATGAAGAACTTGCTTGCCTTACCCTTTATGGCAGCAGTCCTGACACAGAAGGTCTCCTTGCACAGCCTGGAAGCAGTTCTGTGTGAGTCAGGATTCCCGTGGATGTAGGTGATGGCATCTCCATCTGAATGAAAATTTGGCATTTTGGACTTTTATTTTTTTTTCACAGTGATTTTAACTTTATTTACTAAATGTCCCAATTTATGTTTTCATTGGGTGTTCATTCTGGGCACATTCCCAGATCCAGAGCTGGTACCATGTGCTCTTGGAATATCTCTTAAATGCCTCAGGACTGGTTGTATTTCTCTATGAAGTAAGAGACCTACTGTCTTTGCCTCCTGATGCTCACATTCTAGCTCATTTCAGCATGCAGAAAAATTACTAATGAAGTGTAAAAATGAGGGAGAGAGATGTTTAAGAGCTGTGGGCATAAATGCACAGAAGTCAGATATTTCTGATTAGTTTCCAGAGAAAGTGGAAAGTGAAAAAAGAGAAAATGTCCTGCACTGGGGATAATATTTACAGAAATATTTGCTAATCGAAGCACTAACTGCGCAGAAAAGCCAGTTATGTTCTGGGGCCGGGCTGTGCATTTAGCCTGTGTTGAAATTGTCACCCGAGGCTGCCCTGGCAGCGCGGGGCTCTGGCAGGGCCGCTGGCACAGGCCGTGTTTACCCCTCGGGGATCGCAGCCATGTGTTTGTGGCAGCCCCGGCGATGCAAACATGCAGATGGCAGGGCTGGGCTGGGGGCTGCACCTCCATCAGCTGCTGGATGCTGCCTGCCGCACGGCCTGGGCACACGTGCCGTGCCAGAGCTACCGGAGCAGCGCTTGTGGTCTGTCAGCAATCATGGCCTGGTGCTCTGGCGGCAGCTGGGCCGGGCTGAGGCTCAGGTAAAAGCCACCACAGTAAATATAGGGCATGGAGGGGGTGGGGGGGAAGTGTGGAATTCATCTGGCAAAACCCCTCTAACAAGGGGTTCCGCACGGGTTTGCTCCTCACAACCCTCGCACCTGTGGCTGGTTATTTGTGAGGGAGAGGTGAACAAACAGTCGAGCACCACCGGCCCCAGGGTGTACTCAGTGTGAGCCCTATTCCACACCCCACTGCTGCCTGTATCCTAACCCTGACATGTTTTCAGGCCGTGTTGGGACCCCGCTGCCGTGTGCCCCGAGTCCCGTTTGTCTGACAGATAGTTCTGTCCTGCAGGTGCCCGGGCAGCTGCCTAGGCTGAAACCCGGCCGGCCATCGCTTCGGGAACCCGTCCTCCGCTACCTGCGGCACCACCGCGCCCAGCT